ACTCACAAAAGCTGGTAAAAGACTACAGCACTTAAATTGTCATAAGCAATGGACACATCCAGTGTTTTGGAATAAACGTTCGGACTACTTTCTTTCAGATTTTTTTTTAAATACATACCCACTTGTAATATATTTATACCACGTATGAAACCCGTGCAATGTTGTACGTATCACACGGAAATCTGGAATTCTGAGAAATAATGTAACTCAAATGAAGGTTTTAAAATGTACGTTTCGCGTGTCAGTATTCATCACTTAATTTAGTGCTTTAATGTTTTAAATCCAAAGAATGTTAATATTGAGATTGGGATGTTCACAGGAATGTACCAGTATTAAGGTATACTCTCTATTATATTTAATCGGTTATTATAATACAGTAATTCATCGATGTTGTTCTCGTCACCGGTAATCACTGTCCGTGGGTACATGAACACCTTAGCACACACGAAGCATGGTTTTAAGATGACTGCGGTCTAGTATGACAGTAATTATCCACCTTTAAAGAGCAACACATCCACGACAACTGCACACACGTTTCCATACTTATATATTAAAATGTATGTTATATATGCGTACGTACGTATATATGTTAGTTTTTCAACAACGAACACATACACAGCCTGCGTTCTTTGCAGGGCCATCCCCGTCCCATATCGTGAGCTCCCTCCGATGTGTCTGACCCCGACCTCACCGTCGAAAGCTCTCCCCGAGAGAGGGAGAGAGGGAAGGGAGAGAGAATCTTGCAGCGAGCGACTTCATCCGCAAACACAAAACCACCCCAGATCGCTCAGAAACCTCAAGTCTCTTCAAGTCTTGCTCGCGAGTGAGTCGCGAGCAGGGCTCCTGCACGGGCGCCCAGCAAACTGCGCAGGCGATTCCGACTTCACCGAAGCATTGGTCCGTGCTCAGGTTGCTTTTCTGTTGTTACATTTTTTTCAAAATAATTTTTATTGGCTGGAGTCGCGAATGACGTGCGCGCTCAGGCGGGCAGTGAGTGAGCAGCGACGCGGTCCGCTCACGGACGGCGCGTCGTCCGCCGTGTGTGTGTGTGCGTTGCGTCGTCCGCCGGGTGTGTGTGTGCGTTGCGTCGTCCGCCGTGTGTGTGTGTTGCGTCGTCCGCCGTGTGTGTGTGTGCGCGTTGCGTCGTCTGCCGGGTGTGTGTGTGTGCGTTGCGTCGTCCGCCGGGTGTGTGTGTGTGTGTGTGTTGCATCGTCCACCGTGTGTGTGTGCGCGTTGCGTCATCCGCTGGGTGTGCGTGTGTGTGCGTTGCGTCGTCCGCCGGATGTGTGTGTGTGTGCGTTGGGTCATCCGCTTACTGCGGAAGAGAGGCTGCCACTCCTCTGTCAGGAGCTGGACCGGTACCGCCTGGATCTCTGTGGCATTCAGGGGGTCCGGTAGACCGGTTCTGGCTCCTGCCACCATGAGGGGTGGACAGTTCTCTACTCGGGGCAGCAGACTGCCAAACAACAGGGTGTGGCTCTTCTTTTGAACAAAAGAATGAAGGGGGCGTGGGAGCGTGGCGGTGAGGTGTGGGAAGCTGTAAGCCCCAGGCTACTTTGGGCTCGCCTTCCCATCAATCGGAGGCGTCGTGGTTACTTATGCCCCCACCGAAGACGAACATCCGTGGAGGGATGCAGGCAAAGCCGATGAGTCAGATGCCTTCTATGACCTCTTGTCACAGGTGCTGGCTAAAGTGGCCCTTCGGGATAGAGTTATCTTGTTGGGTGACTTCAATGCCCGAGTTGGTCATGATGCTGGCACCTGGTCTGGAGTGATTGGAGGGCATGGGCCAGATCAGCTCAATAACAACGGTAGGAGGCTGCTAGATTTTTGTGCAGCCCATGGGCTTGTAATTACCAACACGCTGTTCCGGCATCGGCGCATCCACACAACATCATGGATGCATGCCGGGGTCCAAGCAAGAACATCTGTTGGACTACATAGTGACGGACCAGCGGATGCGAGCCGATGTCCTTGACACCAGGACGTACCGTGGAGCTGATCTGCCCTCTGACCATCGACTTGTCATCTGTAAGATGCGCCTGCCATTCTTCCGCTCCGGTGGTGGGTGTACACCCAGGACCCCATTCCAAGCTAAAGTGGCCTGGTTTCAGTTATCTGATGAAAGTTGAAAGCGAGAAATTCATCATCACCTGCGGCTGGGGTTGGCATCGTCCCCCACTCCTCCTGATGTCGAGGGTAAATGGGCGAGGTTTAGGACTGTCACTCATGCAGCTGCATTGGCTGCTTTGGGTAAGCGGTCCAGACCTCCCCAGAGACCCTGGCTGACAGAGGAGGTGTTCAGGATAGTTGAGAAAAAGCGACAGGCCAACTGTCATCGGCAACAGAATCCCACATCAGAGAATGAGGAGGCTTACCGCAGCCTTCGCTCGGAGGTTCGGAGAGCTGTGAGGCACTGCAAGGATGGTTGGTGGTCGCGGGTTGCTGAGGAGATGGAGTCTGCCTCAGTGGCCTGCGATCACAAATCTCTATTTAACTCCATCAAAAAAGTAACCTGCAGCGCCACACCTATTACCATCATTAGGGGAAAAAACGGTGATCCAATCTCCGACCCCCAGGAACAGGTTTGCAGATTTGCTGAGCATTTCTGTGAGGTCCTGGGGGAGGGAAAATCCCTCAGCCAGGAAAACATCGTGGCACAAAGTGAGGATTACCCTGCTGAGGCTGCGGTGCCTCAAATATTGGAAGAAGTCACCCCCTGTGAGTGGCTGGCTGAAGTGCCATCTGTTGAGGAAGTACTGAAGGCGATCCGGAGTCTGAGACCAGGAAAGGCAGTGGGCAGAGATGATCTCCCAAGCGAAATGCTGAAGGAGGGTGGCGTTTGTGTACAGACTGCCCTATATGACATCATAACAACGGTCTGGACCACTGGACGGGTTCCGCAGGATTGGAAGGATGCCCAGACTGTAACAACTACAGGGGCATCTCAATCCTCAGTGTGCCGGGAAAGGTCCTGGCAAGAATTATTCAACATCGCCTTACCAGGCACGCTAAGGAGAGGCTTGCGGAGCCCCAATGCGGTTTCAGGAAAGGGCGGTCCTGCACAGATGCCATATTTTCTGTCCATATGCTACAGCAGAGGTGTAGGGAATTCCAGCAAGGCCTACATCTCTGCTTTATTGACCTGGTCAAGGCCTATGATACCATCGGTAGGCCTGGGCTCTGGGTTGTTCTTCGGGCTTTTGGAGTACCTGACCCTCTGCTCACAATCATTAAGGACCTTCATGATGGTGAGCGGGCCCGGGCAAAACTACGTGGCCGGGAGTCAAGAGCCATTCCTTGTACACCTTGGGGTGCGACAGGGATGTCCTCTGGCTCCCACATTATTTAACATCTATTTTGACCAGGTAGTTCGTGAAGCCTTTAATAGCTGTACCGGGGGAATCTCCATATGGTACAGATATAATGGGAGGCTGATCGATGCCCTTGTGCGGTCAAGGGATGGCTCCCTATTGCTCAACCACGTTATGTATGCCGATGATTTGGTAATAGCTGCTCATTCAGAGGAGGAGTTGGAGATGCTGCTGCTGAGACTGGAGCGTGCCACTAAGAGATGGGGCCTTACCATCAGCCCCACCAAAACTAAGCACCTGCCTGGGTATTTTTTACCATCGGACACTCCACCCCCACAACTCCCAATCGGTGATAGGGCAGTTGTGGAGAGAGTGGAGAGTTTCCCATACCTGGGCAGTGTGCTTATGACCGGCTCCAGTTTAACAGCAGAGGTCTCACTCCGAATCAGTCGAGCGGCAATATCTTTTCATCGGTTGCGTAACGCTGTGTGGAAGCTACCTGGTCTGTCGCTCCGCAATAAGCTTCAGGTCTTCTCGGCCACGGTCATTCCCTCCCTTCTCTACGCTTGCGAAACATGGACCCCCCTAATGGAACATCTTTGCCGGTTAGAAACATTTAGGTTAGCCTGCCTACGATCCATCCTGGGTTTAACCAGGCTGGATTGTGTGAGGAGCTCACAAATCCTTGAAAGATCTCGGCAAGGTCCCATCGGTGAGCTCCTCCGGCAGGCAAGGCTGCGTTGGCTGGGTCATGTAGCCCGCATGCCCAGCCACCGCATGCCGAAACAGCTTTTGTTCGGCCGGATCGAGGGGGCTAAACGGGCGTGGCACGGGCTAAAGAGATGGAGTGATGTGGTACAGGAGGACGTGGAGCTGAGTGGACTTGCCGATGACTGGTACCAGCGGTGTCAAGATCGGCCTCTGTGGAGGAGGCTCGTGAAGGACGCTGCTACTGGGCAATTGGAGGTAGTCGCCCTCCAACAACAACGGAGGGCGGAGGAGCGAAGCTCACAACAACGAGCGGAGCGCCGGGTGGCTAAAGCACAGCAGGTTGGCACAGTAGGGGGCACAGGTGGTGCATCAGCCAGTCATCTCAGTCATCTTAGTCAGTCGACCCGTGGCACTTGGGTCTGCCCCGTGACCTCCTGCCCGCGGGCGTTCCGACACTTCACGTGGCCTCAAGGTGCACATGGCCTGTCGGGTGTGTGTGTTTGTTGCGTCGTCCGCCGGGCGTGTGTGTGTGCGTTGCGATTCGCCGGGTGTAAAACACTCCCCAACGTTGCGGGTTGTATGTACCGTGTGTGTGTTGAACTTCTTTCGCACCGTGCATAGCCAACCGTGGCTAATCGGAGGTGCGGGAGAAGGGCAACAAAAACGAGGATGGGGGTGTGGGGGGCAAAGAACCCCCAGACTAAAGCTGCAAAAAACTTGAAAATGAAGGTGGTGGTAGCTCTTCACACTTCCAAGTTGTAGGGGGGGGGGGTTGCCGTCCTCCACAGAAAGATAAAACACGCGATGTACATGAGCGTCGACGCCGTTACGACGAGTTGGGTTTTTCTTTTGCTGCTGCTGCGCGCTGCGTTTTTTTTCGAGGGCTCAAGCGTCCCCTCCCCCCACCACCACCACCACCCTCTTCACCTTTCTCTTTCTCCGATCGACCCTCTGTTCTGCAACAGCACTTGGATCGCTGCTACTTTAAAATGTCGTTTAAAAACAAACGCTTTTTGCCCCGTTGACACTTTGCGAGTGTGCGGTTGAAGGGCGAGCGATGTGGGAGCGGCGTCATCTCCTCCCCCCCCCACCCCCACGTGCGTCCGTCTCATCTCCACGTGCGCAACGTGATTGGAGACACGCTTTCAAAACGAAGTGTCGAATACGAGCTCGTCATCCGAAAGACAACGAGGAAAATATTTAACTTCGTTATATCCCACCGTTGAAAATAAATGTTATTGCACCAATGTTTTTATTTTTTTGGGAACCCAGCAATAAGTCTTATTTAAAAAAAAAACTGCTGGTTTGTTGTTGTTGTTTTTATTTATTTATCTATCCACTAACCTTGTCATAAATGTACATAAATATTACAAAATAAACAACTTGGTATTTCTGCCACTGGTACACACTTGCAAAATATAGCTGCTTTAAATATATTTTTTTTATGTGAATATGTTTATATGTTCACGAAACTATCTGATCATAATAGGTATATACAGTATCTTCAGCTTGGTGATGGTAATCATTTGCTCGGCCTTGTATAAGCACGATGCAAATTCAAACAAAAAAATTTGCAAATAGATTATATTTTGATTGTATATTTTATCCTGGTCCACTCAGCAACTAAAACTGACAGGTTTGTCCGCATGGAAAGTGCAAAGTTTTATGATACCGATGCGATCCGATTATCAGAATGTGAGCACACGGCTTGTTGTTAAAACTGATTCTTAACAGAAAAAAATTCCTGCATTACATAGCTTGCAGAATCGATCAGTGTTAACAATCGTGTAACCATTTCACGAAGCCTCCTGGGACTATTTTTTAAATATATATTTACAGTAAATAACTTTAGGTTAAAATGCTAATATCTACAATATTCCAAATGTATTTTGTTGCAAGCGCAAGATGCAAACCGTCTTCATTTAAAACAAGCCTGTGTCCAATGAACACGTCTGATTCCTACCACCATCCACAATGAGATTCAATGTCAAATTCAAATACATTCCCTCGTGGATAAACACAACCTAAATGGAGTGCACCCTGCCCGTGTATCTCTTGCCTTGCACAAGTTCTCTTGACGTGTGTGTGTGTGTGTGAAATTTGCTTAGTTTCTTTTGCATAAAATCACAAGCACGAGGGGCTTCCGACGGTCTCGCGCTCTCTCCAGTCGCACTCCACCGGCAGAGCCGCGCTGTAAACCTCAAAAGCAGCGCCCACCGTCTGCACCCTCGTAAGGACCCATCTTTCGCGAGCGACGCTGATACCCTCTTTCCACACAAAACCTTCTTGCAGCCGCCTTCACTCGAAGCTTCCCTTCTTCAAGGTCAGGCGAGGCCACGCCGCACTTACACCACCACCACCACCACCGGCTATGATCGGTGTGGGACGTGAAAATATAGGGGGGGGGGGGGGGGGCGCGTTGGGGGAAATAGCAAATAGCCACGGCGGACGGCGGGGGTGGTCGTGGTGGTGATCTCGGCAGTTTAGGGAGAAGGAGGAGGCAGCCTTCGTCAGAGCCCCGTGGTGAGCCTCAGCTCGGACGTGGCGTCGTCCCTCATCCCCGGCGGCGAGGACAACGGCGACAGCTCCACGTCTAGTCATGCGGGGGGGTGCGATGACGTGCGCTCCACGCCGGTGACGGCGGTGGTCTGCTCGGCGAAGAGCGTCGGCGACAGGAGCCCCGCCTGGGTGACCGCGCCGCAGAAGCCGACGCCGCCGCCGCCGCTGCTCCCGCCGCTGCCCCCCGCGTGGTTGTTGTTGTGGCCGGCGCGCGCCGCGCGGTGGTACGAGGACGACGTGGCGCGGTCGCGGCGCCCGCCGCTGCCCCCGCCGCTGCCCCCGCCGCCGCCGCCTCCGGCGGGGAAGCAGAACTCCTTGAAGCAGCGCTTGAAGTTCTCGTCCAGGAAGGCGTAGAGCACGGGGTTGAGGCAGCTGTTGGTGTAGCCGAGCGCCACGCACGAATACCACGCGGCCGCCATGAACGGTGTCTCCGGGATGGTCATGAGCGCCCTGGCGATGACGAACAGGTGGATGGGCGTCCAGCACACGATGAAGACCGCCACCACCACCTGCAGCCACGGCACGGGTAAGTGCAGGGCACTTACTACATTTGTTTTGGTACAAAGAATACAAATTTCCCCCAAGGGTTGCACCGCTCTACGATAGAGCCGAGCGGATTCTTTGTCCGGTGGTGTGACGCCAATACCATGATCGGGATGACATTGGGAAAACATCCAACGTGAAGTTTTCAATGATTCAAATGTCCACCCTGGCATCATCAGTTTGTGTACTCAGTGGTGTAGGTTATGGAGTGTGCAGGCAGTCAACTGCACTGGGTCCCATGGGCTGAAGGGGCCAAGGCTCTGGGTAATGAAGGGGGAGACATTGGACAGGGGGTGGGCTCCATTTCATCCCTCGCACCGGGGCCCATGCCAACCACGCAGTGCCACTGTGTCTACTCCGCGTGCTTTGCGAATGTAAGTGTTTTTACTCTCTAAGCCAAAATGTATTTTTTCCCAACAAGACAATAATATTGCAAACGTCACACCACGCCAACTACTCTGATCGCATTTAATGCATTTTTGGGGGTTTAACCACTGTGGGTGCACGTGTGTGTGTGTGTGTGTACATGTGTGTGAGTGTGGGTCATGACGTGTGTGTAGTTGTGGGCATCAGTAGTGCAGAGGTTTACACGCTGGGACCCGGGTTCGATTCCCACTCACGTCGAAAACACCAGTGACGATTATGGTGGGCCTCATCGAGGTCAACTCAGCCTCAAATGAGCATCTCGTGCAATGTGTAAGCATCGCCACTCGGGAGATAAAGACGGCCAGGCGTGGTGCTGGCCACCCACCGCCTGGCGTGCCATGTCAGCCTTTACACGCGCTCGCTAACTGTACTCACCCAAATGGTCTGATGAGGCTACACGGGGGGGGGGGGGGGGGGGGGGGGGGAGGGGGGCATCTCTGTCATTGTGAACGTTTGACCGAGTTCTCACCAGGACCATGCGCGTGATGCGTCGGAGGTTGCGGTCCTTCTCCTTGGAGCCCGAGAAGAGGCGCACGGTGCGCAAGCGCAGAATCATGAGGCCGTAGCAGATGGTGATGATCATGACGGGCATGATGAAGGCGAAGATGAACACGCAGATCTTCAGCAGGGTTTCCCAGAACCAGGGCGGCTGCGGGAAGACCACCAGGCACTCCATGTAGCCTGCACGAGAAAGGAAACCGTCCACACCCCCAGTTGTAAGCATTTGTCCCGCACTGTATGCCAGTCGTTTGTGTTAAGTGCCAACTGACGCAATTATGTGGATTGCGCCCGACCACGTCAGATCTGGTTTGCTAAGCTTTGGGTCGAGCCTACATAGTGCTTGGATGGACAACCGCCGGCTGCTCTGGCAGAGAACAGTGCAGAAAAATCCATTGTTGTACAGTACTCTATACTCACATCTATGCTGTTCACATTCAACGACCCGCACTAACCAGCGTGGCGAATTTTGATCAAAGGACTCCTGTGACCCGAATGGCTTCGGTAGGCCCTCATCGAGCAGTGTATTGACATCGGAGCTGTACATGTGCATTGTACAGCTTCTGGAGGAGCGTCCAAACATTGTAAATCCACTGTCCTCAGAGCAAAAGGAACAAAAAACTAAATGCAAAGATAACCTGATTTCCAAGTTCACCCTCCTTTCCAAGAAGAAGCCAGATCCACACATTAAAAAGTTAGACGGTAACAAGATTGTTATCAACCAAAGTTACAGCCCAATTTCCGACAGCCTAAAATCGGTTCTAGCTAAAGGGTTGAATTTCGCAGTCACCCCTAAACACATCCCAGTTGATGATATCATTGCCCAGGTCGACGTAGCCCTTAAGGGTTTAGGACACATTCCTGCAGACGTGGCAAGATCGGAAATCGCTGTAGTCCTCAAAAACGCTAAGACACCTACAGTATTAACAACATCAGCAAGGATGAGTGCTTTGAGGTTTCTCAACTAAAAAAGAGAGATGACATAGTCATTCTCTCAGCCAATAAGGGCAATGCCACTGTCATCATGGACAAAACCACATACAATAAAAAAAATTCAGGATCTACTTAATGATGGCAGCTATACCAAAATCAATAGATATCCTACCAAACGCCTGGTTACGAAAACCAACAGTATCATCACTGATTTGACATCTTTAATCAAACCAACCAAGCGGCTTTCCTTAAAACCCTCTGCTGCTAGACCACCCAGATTTTTTGGATTACAAAAAATCCATAAAGAAGGTACACAACTCCAGCCTATCGTCTCCACCATTGAATCACCTACCTACAAACTGGTCCGATTTCTGTCTGAGACCCTACAACCATTCACTGGTAAGACCACCTCAGCTGTACTTAACTCAGCTCACTTGGTATCTCTAATGGGTTCTCCCTTATCTCCAGTTGTAGCCAATGTTTTCATGGAAAATTTTGAGACAGATGCCATCCAGGCATCCACCCTACGTCCGTCCTTGTGGAAGAGATACGTAGATGACACGTTCGTCATCTGGCCACATGGCCTACCAGCGCTGGGCCAATTCTTCAACCACATCAATTCCATACACCCAGCCATAAAAAATCACTAATGAAGGTAGAAAAGGATGGCAAGTTACCATTCTTGGATATGTTCATCAAAAAGAGACCAGATGGCTGAATGGGACACTCTGTCTACAGGAAAGCCACCCATACAGATGCCTACCTAAAACCTGACTCCCACCACCATCCATCCCAGAATAATTCCCTCATCAAAACTCTACACCATAAAGCTCATTGTATTTCCGACCATTACCACCTAGCCAGTAAACTGGAACACATACACCAAGCCGTCAAGATGAATGGATATTCGGACTACACAATCCGTAAAGCCATCACCCCAACCGTTGGGAAAGAACCATCTGAGGACCCAATCAAAACCATCATCTTGCCATACATAGCAGGGGTTACCAAAAATATTTCCAAAATCATGAGCAAACACAAGATCCAGGTTCGATTCAACACAGTATGTAAAATTCGTGATCTGATCCCATCTGTGAAGGATGTGATCCTTGACATGCAATATCCCGGTGTCTACAAACTAAGCTGTGTCTGCGGCAGTAGTTAGATTGGGGAAACTAAGCAACATGTCTCGGACCGTGTTCGTGAACACAAGGCAGATTTAAAACACGATAGGACCAATACTTCAGACGTGGCTGATCATTGTTTTAACACTGTGGGCACACATGAAATAGATTTTTCCAAGACGAAGGTTCTCTGCAAACCCACTGGCTATCAAAAAATATTCGTTCATGAAGCCATCCAGATATATAAACACAGACACAATTTCAACTGAAAAGATGGGTACAAACTGAGCAATCATTAGAAGGACGTTATTAACCAGTTTAAGTCATAACTGGCTGTGATGTTTCCATCCAACCTGTCGATGTTAGCAGTTATTTCCGACTCCCTGAGTTACATACACGCTAAATGTCTCACTAACACAGCCACCGTTGCTCCTTGTCCTCGAGTTGGCGGTGTCCCTCAAATTTTAACAAGCTGGATGTCTCATGAGCACAGCCAGCGTTGCGGTGGTTCGCTTACATTGACATCCTAATCTCTCGCAATACAATGGCCACCTCCACAGCTGCGTCCTCGTGGAGGTATATCAGCTCTCCGATCTTTCATTGACATGCAAATTCTATCTCTAGCCCTGCCCACTTACCCTTGGGCAACGCCCATCTCAAACCTATTTAACATCCTGCCTCAGCAGCTCTCCCGCTATATATTTTTCACCTGATGACGATTGCTTGTGTTGCGATCGAAACGTCGTGACATTCTTATTGTTTTTATATCTACGTGGCTTTACTGAAAGACCCAAAGAATATAAAAAAGTTACTTCTAACTTAAAATAAGACATCGGAGAAATATCCGAGCTTTTCGAAAACGAACATTAATTATCTGTACTAGTTGAATTACTCTGTTCATTAAGAGCCACTGCTGGCTTCGTGATGTTTCGATTTTGCGTTGTTGTTGTTTTTTTTTATTACTACAGTCGTGCCCTGAATGTAAACACCTCTAATCGCATTAAATGTGCCACGTGCAGCTCATTCTGACGCTTCGCTTTTGACGTGCACCGCTGTTTCGCTCCACGTACAGGGAAGCTTCTTCGGGCACGTGAACGTAGGCGGCTCACGCGAACCGTTCGTCGAGGGTGAACATTGAGCTGTGCCGTTCGGTTCCTGAAGAAACTCCCAACGCATGGAGCGAAACGTCGGACGTCGCGCCCAAAAAAAACCACGCGACACAACCCGCGAGCGCACGAGAGTTGCACAGCACAACCGTGGACACCTTACGTTGTAGTCGTATTTGTGAGTCGTATTGATGCTTTCAAGGATACACAAAGTTAGTATCGTTAAGCTTAACTACTACAGAACATTTCGATTTAAAGCTTTCGTGACTGTGGGGATTTATATTCTTGGTTCTTTCGGTAAAGTCACGTAGAAGGCAAATAATAAAATAATACAAATAAAACAAAATTCTCACGACGTTTCGATTGCAACACAAGCAATCATCATCAGGTGTGAAAACCACTTTTTTCTCATTTTCTTGCCGTAGTTTTCACACCTGATGATGATTGCTTGTATTGCAATCGAAACGTCGTGAGAATTTTATAGTTTTACTTGTATTCTTTTATTATTTCCCTTCTATGTGACTTTACCGAAAGAACCAAGAATTCTACACAATAGTGCAAGGCTACTCTGTATATAATCTCAATGCAGCTTAATTGAATGCCAATCGCCCTATTGTTTGCATGTCCCTTGAAAATAATACGCAGCCTGCTCGGTGCACGGTTCAACAAATGTTGCTTGAATTAACGCCTTCTGTAATGTAGCTAGGTGACTGATCAGACCATGGATGGAATGCCTGTTAAAAGCGTGATTAGGCCTGTGTTTATTTGTTTCCCTCGCTTAATACGGGGCCAGTGTTTTGTGCTCCTGGTGTTCAGCCACAAAAAGGCATTCGGGCTTTTATCACCCTGCCTTTGCAAAGTGAATTTCACCAATATCACGTGAGGCTATTTAGCAATAAAGAACTCGGGACGCCCACCACTCCAATGCTTGGTATCCGGTCACTTGCCTCTAACTCATCGTGTCTGGTGTCCCCGGTCTCTAGTCCTTGGTCTCCAGCCTTGGGGTCACAGTATTTCAGTCCTTGATCCAACTGATCACTTGGTCCCTGATCTCCTGTCCCTTGTGTCTGGTCACCGGCTTCTAGTTCATGATCCTTAGCTTCCGTTTTATGGTCACCATCGTTTAGTCCTTGACCTCTAGTAACCTGGTATTTTCTCTCCGATCCATGGAACCCAAATTTCCCATTACCCAGCCTCGTGTCACTTACCTTGGTCTCCAGCACATACAGTAAAGTAGTCCCGCATATCTAGTCTCCATCCCCTGGTGCGCAGGTCCGTGGTCCCCACCTCTTAGTCTTCTGATCCCCAGTCCCAGACCCACAAGCCTCAAATCCCTGTCCCTTGCCCCCCCCCCCCTCCAACCCCACGTCCCGATCCCCCAAAACCGGCCTCACCAATTTGGTCAGGCTTGATGGTGCCCATAATCATGATGGGGACGCCGATGATAGACGAGAGCAGCCAGATGGCGACGTTGATCAACTTGGCCTTGGTGGGCGTGCGGAAGTCGAGGGCCTTGACCGGGTGGCACACGGCGACGTAGCGGTCGACGCTCATCATGGTGAGCGTGAAGATGCTTGTGAACATGTTGTAGTAGTCGATGGACATCACCACCTTGCAGAGGATGGGCCCGAATGGCCACGTGCCCAGCATGTAGTCGGCGCTCTGGAACGGCAGCGTGCTCGTCGCCAGAGCGTCGGCCAGCGCCAGGTTAAAAATGTAGATGTTTGTGGCCGTCTTCATCTTCGTGTAGCTGCGAACAGTGGGGGGCGGGGGGGGGTGCCGGGGTTCACACACGGCACGCGCACAACAAAATTAACGACAAAGAATGTTTAGGTTACATCGCGTACGCATGACACGTGCGGTACCATGTCCGGTAACAAGAATGCGTCCTCTGCTGCCCACACGTAGCCCCACAGCCTACAACACGTGTGTGGTGTCTGGTGGTCGCCCATCCAAGCACTATCCAGGCTCAACACGGCTTAGACTCTCGAGAACTCATGGGATCGGGCGCATTCCAGGTGATTTGAGCAGTGTTGAACCTGGTGAGTGCTCGGATGGGTTACCATCAGGGATTGCCAGGTGTTGTAGGCATGGGACTGCAAGGTGACCAGGTGATGGCGGTGTTGAATGTTTATCCCCTTGTGTGGGTGGTGGGTTTTCTCTGGGTGCTCTTGTTTTCACTGACATATAGCCAGACGCTCATTGATGACATCTCATTGCTGGGTTCTCCTGGAAAAGGTCATGTCCTATCTTTAAGAAAAATAACTTGTATTTTGAAAAGTGAGATTCTTTTTTACAGTTTTTTTGGGTGCATTTCTCATTCATGTACTTTATGCTTCTTGAGTAAAATCTTTCATTGTTCGAGTAAAAAAAGAAAATGTGAAGTAAAATTTGTGAATACAGTACGTAGGTGTTTTTGTTAGCCGTGCACAATACAAGATGCAAATGTTCTATTTATGACCTGGCTCGACCCAGCCCACCACTACGTGAAACATAACATTTGTGTTTTTTTTATCTGAGAAGTCATCAAATTCGCGGTGGTCCTCTACTGGCCATGAGAGGGTGGCTTTTTCGTCACTTAGCCCGGGAACGCTGCAAATGCCAAACAATCGGTCTGCAACGGTATCACCGAACTTGTGGATCGTAGCCAATCACAAAGGCGTAGGCAGACACCCTTAGGCCTGGGATCTGAACTCATTTGTTTGCATGCCGAGGCACAGCTCACCGGACTACTTACCTAGATTGCAAAACAACCTTCCTTAGGTCCCCTTTTGTCTGGCTCGTGACAACACTCAAGTTACGTATCATGAAAGATGTATGCGAGAAGATACGTCACGCGGCTTGAGAGCTGATGGGCGATTTGCTCGCTTGTCCGATTTTATTATCTTAACTTATTAAGACACCACCACTTAGAGAAGAGCAAACCGCGCATTTCTCACTTGAGTCGAGGGGCAAGTGTTACTTTTGTGAATAAAATAAGGGACGAAATTATTCAAGAAGGAATTCCTTTATTTTTAAACGCATATGAACTAAAATCGCGAGTGGACGACAATCATCAAGCGTAATGATGACTGCGGCCACTAACCCACCAGAACCCAAAGCGTGACTGACCATGACGAGACGAATGGACGATTCTGGTAACGTAGTCACAGTGTTAAAGACTGCAGTACACTCACGAAGACAATGGCAATTGCCTACACAGTCCAGTGTTGTACGTGTATAAACGATTTGATGAGTCCACCGATTGGCCGACCAGGTAATATTGTGTTAAATTTCATGAGAGCACACTGCACAGACTGAAGCTGACTGAAATATGTCAGAGATTTGTTCACGAGGCAATTCAGATTTACAAACACAGACACAATTTCAACCGAGAGGATGGTTTCAAATTAAACAACCATTGGAAAGATGTTCTGAATCAAACCAAACATTAAACTAATTTTCAATGGTACAGTATATTTTTTCAAGTAGCGGTATCCCAAACTTTCGCAGCTGCTTTAATACCCTTTTCACACCATCAATAGGTAAACTCCCCCCTTCCCCCCTCGCCGGTCTGCACTTGCTCCCCCCCCTGTACATCGTTCATCATGCTAAGTCCGCCAATTAAATGCTAATTTTTATGCTAATTCCTTTGTCAAGGCGCTCTGCTTCCTCTCACACAGCTTAAAGGTCGCGGTCTGAGCTTGGCTGTGTTCACTCCAGCGCTGTCCTCTAGACAGTCTGCTTCCTTCACCTGATGAAGGCCACTTGTGTTTCGATTTAAAGCTTTCGTGACTGCAAGGATTCATCTTCTTTGGTTCTTTCGGTAAAGTCACGTAGAATGAGAATAAAATAATCAATTGATCAAATAAAATAACACAATAAAATTCTCACGACGTTTCGGCCACAACACAAGCGGCCTTCATCAGGTGAAGGGACGAGACTGTCTGGAGGACAGCGCTGGAACCTGATGAAGGCCGCTTGTGTTGTGGCCGAAACGTCGTGAGAATTTTATTGTGTTATTTTATTTATCAATTTATTATTTTATTCTCATTCTACGTGACTTTACCGAAAGAACCAAAGAAGAAAAAAGCCACTTGTGTTGTGGCCGAAACGTCGTGAATTTTGTTTTATTTTTGGTTGTTTTTTACGTGACTTTACCGAATAGAACCAAAGAGTAAGGTTTGGTCTACAGGGTGGTCCAGATGTCTTGTGACCCCCCCTCCATTTAATTCGAGGCAAACCCAAATTGCAGAGTGGCCACCGGGCTTTCGCTTTGTTGAGGGCCCATCAAAAAAGGCGAGAGTGGGGAGTTGAATACAACTCGAATACGGTACAAGGGTTGAATACAACTCGAATAGCGTTGCTTCAGAGCTGCATTGTCCCGCTCTGGTCACCAGGTGGCGTCACGCTGCTAGAGTGGCTCTCAGTGTCGCCATGTCAAAATACATCATCGTCATCATTCACAATCTTTTGTCAATCCACTGCTGGATGAAGGTCCTCGTCATACCGTGCTTTGATACAGAATCAGAAAATGTATTTACACTGAAGGAATCTGATGCGCTACAAAAAAATCTTTTTCACAGGTTTCCAGATACCTGAGCCACTAAACCGAGATTCACCATGGATGACTTTGGACAAATCCCTTTCAGGCTCGTCGGAATAGCTTGTGCACAAATGTGTCTTGTTCTTCAATGCAAGGCCCAGCAGGAATATTGTATAAATAACAAATCATTTAAAAACGTGGTTATCAGCCCTTTGTCGATCCACTGTTGAACGACTTCCCTATGCCACGGCCATGGTAGGGGATCGTTAGACCGCGCTTCACCACGTTGGTCAATGCAGGTTGAGCCGTGGCAGGAAATGACACTGTCTCCCACGTGCAGAACGCAGTGCACTCACCGCTATGCCGCCTCCATTGCCACCATTCCACTCCTCAACACACCAATGTGGCAATCGATGGGCTCGGGATAATCGCCACGCGTATGCCAGTTGTGCAAAACGATTATTCGGCTGGTCCGAAACACGTGGCTTCTTCTAAGTCACCATTGCATCTTGGGGTCGATGGCTCCGGATTGTATTTCTCCACGCACTTCTCACGTCGCATTCCACCACATCTTTCCATCTCACCCTTCCGAGTCCTGCACCAGCAACTCCAAAGCTGTATTAATTCCATTTGAAACTCAGTGGGGTAGCTTTTGTAGTTTTTTTATTTTATATGTTGGGGGTTTGTTATTGCTACATTGCACAGACGCATGTGTAGGGTAGCTGCACGAGTGTGGTGGCTGGGTGGCTTCGAGCTGAGGGCACTGACCTTGCACCCCTGACATCCTCAGTTTCCAATCGGATTTTCAGCTTCCCGTGATTAAACCGACTTCTCAAGCGAAGCGAGCTGGCGGTCGCAGTTTGGTCACTGATGAAAGCACCAAAAACTCCCCACGTGAGTATTGTACATCTGTAGTTTTAACGTTACGTAGACTTGCTTTTAGAATAAATTGGTCGGGCGACCCTACAGATAACGTTTCTCCATTTGCACACGGCGTTAGAGAAAGTGTACCTGCCTAGTTTATATATTTTTCTCATGACCACTCAAGCACAATTTGAATAAAACATGGTAAATAAAACTCTTTATGAAAACAACATAAGTGGCGTAGATGAAGTGTGGAGCGTTCCTCTGTTGTCGGGGTTAATTCTGCTCATACTTAAATTCTTGAAATTAGCACCTCTGAAAAGCACGCCTGACATCAATCTACATTGACACAAAGCCGTTAGTGAAGCGCATTAATAAACATAATGATGCTACCGGTTGAAAGCTTTGCGCATTGTATCACTCCAGCGATACTCGGCAGGTATTTTATTGAAGCAGAGAGACGAGGGGGTCGCATCCCAGCAGCGACGCCGGCGAGAGTCGAGGCAGTGACATGGCCGTGCACTCGCGTGTTCGTGTTGCAGAGGCTCGCGGTTCAAGCCCCACGGACACCCTGGTTAATAGAGCAGCATTGGTCTGAAATACAAAATATGCTTCATGGTGGATGATGAAGGTCCCGTGATCTTATGACAAGTAAAAAAGAGTAGGCCGTGTATGCTGGCATCAAGGTCCAAATGGGAAAAATATACCTGCAATGTGTTCTTAATTAGGGAAAAATACGAAGCAACTTTTCCCCCTGACTGGCATACTATACTCCCTGTGAAACATAGCACCTTCACGACAACCTTCATGTGACAATTGGGGGGGGGGGGGGCGATTGGAAGTAGCCACGAGGACTTGTGTCTCCTTGGTCTTTCACCTCACGGGCAGGGGCAGAGCCAGGGGGGTGACAGGGTAGACAATTGTCACCCCCGGACTCCGTGCAACTGCATTGTCAGAGTGTGTCGCCAACCGATGGCGTCTAGTTCAAAAGCCTGACTCTCTAATCATTCTTGAAATTAACATTTGTTGAATGTCACCCCGGGCTGAAAATCCTGGCTCCGCCCTTGCTCACGGGCTAAGCGCAACCTTAGCTGGGGTATCAGACTGTTCATTTATCCTGGTGAAATCTGATGAGCTATGAAGCTCTTTTTTCACAGACGTCCAGTAGTGGCGGATCAAAAAATACTGCAGGTATGCATGTATATTGAATCTTATTTCGCACCGTAGCGTAGCCAACCGTGCTAATAATTATCGGAGGTGCGGGGAAGAAGTGGGAATTGGTTGCGAAACCTGTGGAGAGAGGTTTGGGGTGTAGGGATGGTGAACACAGATGAAATCAGCCAATGAGTGAGGAAGGCGGT